TATATATATTTTAGGACCCTTAATTGACCTTAAAGAAGTGCTTTTATATCATTGTTTCTGTTGATAGATCTATTGCATGTTGACTGTGCATTTGTCTCATTTTTCTTTTGACAGATCATAAGTATTATTGTTAAGAATGATGAATGTTGGTTAGCAAATCAACATTCCTTGGTGAATCAGCTGAAACGTGTATGGGTGAGTGAAGCTTTTCAGGAGAGACATCGTAAGGAGAATATGGCTGCGACAAATTGGAAAGAACCTAAGCTATTAGCATATTGCTTATTGAATTACTGCAAGTACGTGAAAACATTTATTTCCTATAGCTTGCATACATTTTCAAAAAAATTTTGAAAATACTGTAAAGGTATACAGGGGTACTAAAAATTGTTTGCAGTTATTGAAGAGAAGAGAAAGTTTAATATATTTCATAATATTGCCATTAGCTCTAAAACCATGCCTTTGGTACTGCCAGTTTCTTCACCAAGCCATGAGCATAGAAGTTTGGTTGGGTATTTTTTCACAGAAGCTTTTTATTTTATATGTTTTTACAGGAGGAATTATGGTGATATAGAGTTGCTCTTCCAGTTGCTTCGGGCTTTTACGGGTCGATTTCTCTGCAATATGACTTTCTTAAAGGAGTACATGGAAGAAGACATCCCTAAAAACTACAGTATTCCCCAGAAACGGGCTTTGTTCTTCCGGTTTGTAGACTTCAATGACCCAAACTTTGGAGATGAGCTCAAAGCCAAGGTAACTAAAGCAATTAAATCAAAGAAGTCTGGTATTTAGGTGTAATTTTCTTCTTGGGAACTAGGGCAACAAAACTCGCTTACTTAAATGTCAACGAGTTTGATAATTGGCAGAGCCATTTAGGTGAAAATATCATACCTGAAGAAGAGTGATAATAAACGGAGACAGCAATTTATCTTGCTTTCAGTGCTGACTGCTTTAGTTTACACTTTCTAAGAATCTTTGCCCTTGGAAGGGGGAAAGAGGAGAAAAAAAATCTGTGTGTGTCTGTTTCTTAAGGTTTTATTTATAGCTTCCTTTTTATAACGCAGTGATTATGTCTAACATGCAGGTTCGCATATGAAATTACTTGAATGTTGACTGCCATTAGAAGAATCTGATAGTCGAGTATAACTGGGTGTTTGTATTCTATAGGTGCTGCAACACATCCTGAATCCTGCTTTCTTGTACAGTTTTGAAAAGGGAGAAGGTGAACAGCTGTTGGGACCCCCAAACCCAGAAGGAGATAATCCAGAAAGCATCACTAGTGTTTTTATAACAAAGGTAACAATCCTTGCTTACATTAAAGCATTTGAACATCAAAACACAAAGTTGTTCCTCTCATTTGGCTTTTCAATCCTGATTTGAATTAGTTGTGCTATTTCTAAATGCTATGATTGCTTATATGAAATCACATCATAACTTTGAACTGTTGTGGGATCCATCAGTCATCAGTAGGATTGGACTACGATTTGCTGTTTATGATATCTTTAGGATTTGAATGTCTGTCTTTAGAAACGGGCCTTGTATGGCTGTAGTCTCAGTCTTTTTCATAAGCAAAGCTTTCCATGACTGAACATCAGTATCTTTGTAATTCACTTTGATTTCATTGAACCAGTTAGCAGTTACAAAATAGATGTTGTTGAAGATGAGGGTTGCGGTTTTTAGTTATGTTTTTTAATAGGTTAGCACTTTGGAAGTTCATAGATCTGCTTGTTATTTAAAAGTTCTCACTTCAGGAGGTTGTTTTGTGGGTATTAAACTGAATCAAAAAATGGTTATAGTTATTAGTCATCTTAAAAACCACTCAAAGAGCACAAAAAGTTGGACTTTGCTTTTGTAGATAATAAAGTTGAGTTGTTTTGGTTTTGTTCTGTTTTTTCTCACCTTCCTCTCCTCTTTGATCATTCCTGGGGCTAGGTACTTGATCCAGAAAAACAGGCTGATATGCTGGATTCTCTCAGGATATATCTCTTGCAGTTTGCCACACTTCTGGTTGAGCATGCTCCACATCACATTCATGACAATAACAAAAACCGGAACAGCAAACTACGACGCCTAATGACATTTGCTTGGCCTTGCCTCCTGTCCAAGGCATGTGTAGACCCAGCATGCAAATACAGTGGACATTTGCTTTTGGCACACATCATTGCAAAATTTGCCATACATAAGAAGATAGTTCTGCAGGTATTGACTATGGGCTTGTGAGGGATAAGTTCTGTAGTGTGCTTGCTTTTATTTTAAAATGCAGGGTAGAGGGTGCAGAGTAGTTTTGGATACTTAGTATGCAAGTAACACTTAAATTCATATGCAACAAACATGCAGAAGCAGCAAGTTAAATATTAATACAAATTTATTTGGGGATAGGATATTGTAGAAAGAAGTTTGAAGGTAAGTGAAAAGAGAGAGGGTAAATGAGACAATGGAAGGTCCTTTTGGTTGAATTAACAGAATGGTACTGTCTCTTCCTTTAAAAGAGACAGACCTTTCAGTTGAGACAGAATGTGGGGACCAAAGGAAAACTTCAAATTGGACAGTGGAGAGGGAGGGGAAAAAAGGGCACGTAAGGGAAACAAAAGTGTATGCTGTATACTTCTGATGATGAAGTATCATCGTATATTTACTAAATTATGGGTCTTCAGGAAAAAATTGTGTTTAGAAAAGGTGTGTTGTAGCTTCTCTTTCTTTATAAATGCTTTATTTTTGTAAATCTGTATAATACTAATGTTGATCAGAAATTTTGCTGTTCAGGTTTTTCACAGTCTTCTAAAAGCTCATGCGATGGAGGCCCGAGCTATTGTGAGGCAAGCGATGGCTATTCTGACTCCAGCTGTGCCTGCTCGAATGGAGGATGGACATCAGATGCTGACTCACTGGACACGGAAAATCATTGTTGAAGAGGGTCATACAGTTCCCCAACTAGTACATATTTTGCACTTGATAGTACAACATTTCAAGGTACTTGCACCAGTTATTCTGGTAATCACTGTATCTCGGATATCAAGGAGGTAAACTGCAATATGATTAGACAATAATGTAATCTGACTTATATGGTTTAGCTTCAAAAGGCATCATCTGTCTGCAAAGATATTTATTTAAAACTGAAAACTTCTATTAAAATTATGTAGCAAACCACTTATTAAGCTTTACCATGGTAGACGTTAGAATTCAAAATGTTTGGTGAAAATCTGCAAGATTAATTCATTGCATGTGTATTAGCAGTGCTCATGAACAGAGCTGTGAAGATTCTTTAAGAGTATTAAAGTGTAGAACCATATTCTTTTTCATCTTCCAGTAATCCTTGTTTGTTCAACTTTCTACATTCTGTGGGGTTCGCAAGGTAACCTTTATCTCCAGCTAATTTATGTTGGGAAACATTAAACAAATGGGGGAATGCTGCAGAATGTCAATATATGAGCATTTTTGAAAACACCTATTAAAATACAATCCAAAGTGAGAGCTAGCTAATGTGCGTTTAAGTCACTTTTCAGGAATCAATGCCTCAGTGCTTTTGGAAAAAATGCCTGAGTGTGTTCAAATGCGAGTTGTAGCTCTCTAAAGGCATGGGCAAAAAATTGTGTGATTGGTCCTTGAGAAAAATCATGCATCTTCCAAAGAACATCTTCATTTAGGTCCTTGAAATCAGTCGTCACTACTGAAAATTGTAGCCAAAATTTTATTTTCAAAGCATGAGTTACTTTTCTGGTTTGCAGGATTTGAACGTGGTACAGATTTAGGAAACTTTGGGATGAAAGAGTATTTTACCATATTGCTTTATTTCGACTCCAGTTTTTGTGTAGACTTTTATTGATTAATGGCTAACATGACTGTGAAACCATCTTTTCAGGTTTATTATCCAGTGAGACATCACTTGGTTCAGCATATGGTTAGTGCCATGCAGAGACTGGGCTTCACTCCCAGTGTTACGATAGAGCAAAGAAAATTAGCTGTGGATCTTGCTGAAGTAGTTATTAAATGGGAATTGCAAAGAATTAAAGACCAGCAGGTAGGAAGTCTAAATAAACTGGTAAACATTGAACTGTTAGACAGTTAAATGCTTTTTTAACATGCATTTTGCTGATATTTCAGCCAGATTCAGATATGGATTCAAGTGGAAGTGGAGAAGGAGCAAGTTCTGCCTCATCTGCTGTTAAAAGAGGATTGTCTGTTGATTCTGGCCAAGAAGTAAAACGATTCAGGACAGCTACAGGAGCAATAAGTGCTGTAAGAAAAAATTGGATTTTGTTCAGAGACTCTGAAATTATAACCTGCAATTTAGTTTACTTTTCCACATAACTTGAAACTCCCTGAATTGAGAGCTGTACTTTTAGAAAATACTTTAAATCTGTTCTGCTTGTTGTTTTCCTTCTTCAATGTTGCTTATGTTGTTTGTGTTTTGTATACATGCAGGTATTTGGACGTAGCCAGTCCTTGCCAGGAGCTGATGCACTTCTTTCCAAACCAATTGACAAGCAGCATACAGATACAGTTGTGAATTTCTTGATTAGAATTGCTTGCCAGGTAGTATATTCACTTTGATATGCAAATACAAATGCAGCATTAGTAGCCAAAACCATAAATCCCGCTTTTCAAAGAGTCCTTTTATGCTTGGATTATTCTAGTGTTTGTATACTTTCACTGCAAGGTTAGAAACTTTACTGTGAATCTGTACAAAAAGTAAAATGTTTTCATTTTAAGGAGGAAAGAAATTGAATTTGATAACCAGTTTCTGCATGTTTTTCATTTCACAAATGGTGGATATTGTATGAGACGTATGCTTTAGCTTCTTATTGTTGGCATTGTACGTTTGTAGCTTGATGTAGGGAGTGTGCACTTTGAAATTAAAACTTCACATGTGAACAGGTGCAATCCCCGATTTTGAAATTGAAAGAGTCTCCATTTTACTGTGCTGTTGATCACTTCTAGCATTTTGTTTGTTCTTTACTTTCTCTTCTCAAGCAAGCACTGTATCAGGAGCGACATAATGGAAATAAAAGTCAATAGCAGAGTTTGGCTGCAGCCAGGCAAAGACTTCAAAAAGTTTCCAGAAGTGTTTTTTTTTTCTTAATTCACTTATATGTTTACCTGATGCTGCTAAGAATACTTGTTCTGTTGCCTAGATTTAATGGCAAGAATATTTTACCCAAAAACTGAAGAATATTTAGAGAGTTTAATAGGGAAAGGCTATGTCAATTATGTAAGTAAGGATAACGATTGTATTTTCGAGATAAAATACATGGAATTACTTCTTTTCATGCAGCATCTAGAACTAAAGATTTTCAACAAATTTTCTTAAGAATTAACTTTTCTACAGTGGGGAAAATTAGCTGGGTGTAGCTCAAAATTGACATTTTATGGCTCCTGCTTCTGCAGCAGACTCAGCTGGTCAGTAACATGGGATTTTATACACCACAGTCTGTTGCACAGAGTAGATGTGCTCTTGAACTATAAAGATGAATTGAGTAAAGAAATAAGTATATTTCTGTGTACTTAGAAAAGATTAACCATCTGGAGCATGTTCAGGTTTCTAGTAATAACGTATGGGATTAAACTTTTTTAAATACACGTTTGATGGGTCATTTGGCGTGATTAGCTAGCAGTTCAGACACCAGTTCTGATGTTTACTATTAATTGTCAGCTTTCTATGTGGTTAAATACTCTGTGACTATATTGATAAAACTACTTAAGCTTATCCATTTCAGAAATAAGAAATTATATGCTTGCTTGGAATGCATAATAAATTAATGAGTTGATTACAAAAGGTTGTCATTTTGTTAACTGTGATTAATTGCTAGGTAAATGACAACTCAAACACTGCTGGATCTCCTGGGGAATTACTGTCTCGCCGCTGTGTCAACCTTCTGAAAACAGCTTTACGACCAGACATGTGGCCAAAATCAGAACTGAAGTTGCAGTGGTTTGATAAACTGCTAATGACTGTGGTAGGTAACATTCTAGTCCTGTAGGTCTTTAGGTTTCACTAGCACATATGTTGACTGAGCACTAGCGATATCTGGATACTGATTTTTACTGTCTTAATTTTTTTTTTTTTTTTTTGTAGTGAAATATATAAATTATTAAGTCTGTGAATTGCATCAGTGGTTATAATTCGTGGAGTAACTTCCGGTGCTACATAGATTTTGAAATAGGTTGTAGTTTGCTTGTTTGGATGGCCTACTGGTTGGCGGGGTTTTCTTTGGTTCGGGGGTGTCTGTTTGTTTGTTTGTTTGTTTTAGTAGGAAGTTCTACAAATTGAGATTGATTTTATTGATTCATCATTTTCTGACTACATTATGGTAACACGAAGTTCACTGAAAGGCTAGTTTCCTGTATTTGATGATACAACATATTTTGTTTATTGTCTGTATGCTGTTTGTGTGCTTTTCGCCATATAGTAAGTTTTTCTACACCTATTTTGTTTGTATCATACTATTTGATAGACTAGCAACTGTTACTGTTAAATTTTTAGGAGCTCTCTTGATGTCACTTTTCTATTTCTTTGAATAAAGGAGTAATATATCCTACTTTTGGAAACTTAAAAATGTGTAAGATTACATGAAAATCTGCTGTGGCCCATTTTTTCCAAATGTTGATCTACATGTGCTATACTTCCATAATGCTATTGTCTTCATGAAGGTAGTCCTTGAAAGGGCAAGTATCTACTTTCATCCTCTTCTCCTTCTGTTGGAAGAGTTTTCAATGTGGCTCCATTTGTTTTGGGTTTAAAAGCACTGATAGTGCTCTAGGGAGCTCATACTTGTTGCTTTACTCATCTTTTCCCAAGTAGTGTGCAACCAGAGTGAAAATTGCCATTAAAATTAATATTTTTTTTTTCCTGTTGATGGCATTTGATAGCCTACAACAGGAAGAACTGCAGTCAGTTCTGGCCATTGTTGGACAAGGATTGCCTGCTACTCATCTTCCTCACTTACACAGTTCCGAAGCTATTTAAGTGCCAGGTGATGGCGGCTGTGCAGTAACAGCAGCATGACTTCAGGAAAATAATGACTTTGAGTGATTTCTCTGCACTGAAGACATCGTGAATGTCTACGTGCTGTCTGCTGAAGAAGAGCTGCATGTTATGTACACACCAGCATTGTCCTCCCTTTCTGGAACAGAGGGGAAGCTGGTGGATGTGTAAAAATAACATTAGAGAGTGCGATTCAGAGAGTTTATGTGCTTCCAGAATGTGAACTGTTATATTTTTCCTCTGACTTTTGGACAAATCTTTCAGTTTATTATCTTTCATGAATTTGGGGAAGGTGGACAAAGTACACCGCATCTAAGAGCAAGCCAGAATCAAAACCTAGCCCACTCCACTTCTCCTCCCCCACTTCAAAACAAATGCAGCGTACCACCCCTCAGACCTGAGGAAGGTGGATGTGGTTGATGTTTACTTAATACAAGGACATGAGCCCTCCTGAACGGGAATTTTATATCTTATTTTCTGCTATGTGGCATCAGTTATACAGGAAGTTCAGAAAAAAGAATAAAGCTTCATCAGCAGACTAATTTACTATCTTAATGATCATTTTGTACGTTTACAAAGAGGTCTAGGAATATTTTATTTTCCTTATTTTTTTCTTTAGTTCCAAATACCCCCTTTCCTAACCTTTAAGCTGTAATTTATAGAATATGCTGTTTTAGCTCTCCACTGAAGGCCTGTCTCTGAAAGATGTTGACAAAGAGGTAAAATATTACCCTCTCTTGAAAACACTTCTAACCTGCAAGTTTGCAGGCAACTTTTGAAGCAGAGGACCACAAAAAACATCAGCAGGAATAAATGATTTTACAGCGCCTTGTGTTTTACAGTTTTATGTTGCATGACTTGTCCAGAAGATTGACGTGAAACGTTGCTGGTGTAGAAACCTCAGACTTACTACAGGTTTTCAACAGATTTGATCTGGACTTGCTAATCTGTGCAATACTTGTGTGATTTCCTCCACTCACTGCCTTTTTTATATGCTCTTTTTAGGAACAACCCAATCAGGCCAACTTTGCCAACATCTGCACTGGCTTAGAGGTCTTAAGTTTCCTGTTAACTGTGCTGCAGCCCCCTGCTATCCTTAGTAGCTTCAAACCCCTGCAACGAGGTGTAGCAGCTTGTATGACTTGTGGAAACACCAAGGTTTTGAGAGCAGTCCACAGTTTGCTTTCTCGCTTAATGGGTATTTTCCCTACCGA